CCAACTGGAGCCCAGCTCCGGCAACTTAGTTAGACCCTGTCTCAAAAAAGAAAGAAAAAAAAAAAAAAAAAAAAAAAAAAAAAAAAAAAAAAAAAAAGAAAAGAAATGACTAGGGACTAGGGACTAGGATATAGTGCAAAGGTCTTGGGTTCAGTCCTCAGTGGTGGTGGTGGTGGGTGGTAAAAACAAAAACAAACGCCACAAGGAACACACACAAAAAGCCATGACAGTCACACTGGTTCTTTCTTTCTATTACTGAAGAGTAATTAAATCCCATAATTAATACAAATTAGAAGTTGGTGGTTCCTCAAGCGCTCACGAGTACTATGATCAGAGAAAAGCTTTTCTTTTTAATGGAAATAAAAGTTCCCTGAAACAAAGTCACCTCCCGTTCAGCTGTCACAGCACTCTATTTGACTCGGTAGTTCCCACAGGGGCACGTCCTGAGGTTTGCTCCATAAATACATTTGGTAGCATGCCTCTGTGCACGAGTGCCCTCTGCTAACACAGATGCCCCTTAAACATGCGTGTTTACTCCACCAGCATGGAACATTTGGCTTATTATAGCTACAGCCTTAAGAAAAGGTGGGGGGGCGGCATCATGGTTTCCAAAAGAGGAGTGACATTTGGGGCACTTCTTGTCATGCGCCATCTCCAGCTTAGCAAAAAACACCCAGCTGGGCCAGCCTGGCGCGCGTCGGGGACCGGCGGGCGGCAGCCGGGCGCTGCAGCCGCGCGTGTGATCTTTTCCGGGCCCCGAGGGCGCGCTCCCCGCCGCGGCCCGCAGGAGCCAGGCCTTTGACTTTATTTGGTGCAGCGCGCGGCGGCGGCGGCGGGCCCCCGCGCGCACATTCCTCCGCGGGGCGGCCACCCCCGGCCGCGGTCGCTAATTATAGCGCTGCAGCTGGCGCTGGGCGCGGGGTGCGCGGCGTCCCGGGTCTCCCGCGACAAGGGCGGGGTCGCGCGGCTTCAAGCAAACGCCGGGACCGCGCGGCTCCGGGCCGCGGGATAGTCTGCACTGGGAAACCTGGGCGCGAGTCGGAGTCCCTGTGTCTGCGAAGGGCGGTCTGTGGGCTCCCGGTAGACTTCTCCCGGCTGCTGGGGGCAGGTGGGTTGGAAGGGGTGGGGTGGTGACCATGGTGGTGAGGGCGCCTCCTCTGGTTCCTTTCCCTCCCGGGAACAGGGCCTGCCCGAACTGGAGGCCGTCTTCCTTTTAAAAAAAGTCTTTCTGAGCTATGCAGAGTTTACAAAAAGAGAAAGCAACAGTCTGACCGGGTCCCCATGTTTCCCTGGGTCCTGGGGTTTGTGTGCAGATGAGAGCACACTGCAGCTTGGGATGGTGCTGGGTGTGTACCTGGCGCAGCGCATCCGTTGTGTGAGAGCTCTTCGGGATGCGGGACTGTGTTGCTAGGTCAGAATCCTGCGGTTCCAGGTGGAAGTTGTAAGGAGAGACTCAGTTCTCCGAGTGATTTTTTAGCTCCGAGGATGTTCTGCATACTCCGTGAAAAAAATCGACACGTGGCTAACTTGTGGGCTATACACCCTTAGCCAAGCACACTGGCCGTCCTACCTGTGGCTTTGACATCAGTAACCTCAAGCTGGGGCCTGGACTCGCCTCTGTTTAAAGCCTGGAAAGAGGTGCCTGATTGTAGGTGTTAAATAATAACGGCTACAACCCATATGGTGCTTATTAGGAGAACAGTATTGCAAAACTTCCCTAATGACTGTGACCTCCTGTGAAATTCTGATTTCAGTTGTATATGAGGTACAATAAATCTTTAACTTTTACCACCCAAAAGGCTAATTGAATTGCTGTTTGCAGCAGAAATAACAAAATGGGGAGTAACAGGTTTTGGCCTGGTAAAAGGCCCCAGCAACCTTTTCCTGTTTTGTAGCTTACACTATAGTCTTAAATGTTGCAGGCTGGGGAAGGTGGCAGGTCCCGGCTTGAGCTGTGTTTAGGAAGTGCTGATTTGCCCTAACCCAGACAATCCTTGTTCAAAGGACATACCTTTCTCCAGAAGTCTTACTATGGAAAAAAAGTAGGTAAAGCTCAGTAACTTGAAGTCACTTTTTATAAACCCTTCCCTACCTTATTAAACTGACACTCTTAGCTCTGCTTGAAATGCTGTTTCTAGTTTTGTGCCCCACCCCCAATGGCTATTCAAAATATCCTATCTGAACTATCACAAGTTTCTAAATGGCAAGGAAATCTGCAATGACCTGAATATTTACCTAAGGCTGTTACATGCCTGCAGTGCACAAAGCCTGATTTATCTGTCATGTCTGATCCCCATCCCCTCATTAACTGATGTTGATGATATACTTAGAAATACTAATTGCTAAGCAAAAGTGGTTAAGTGATGGGATCTACAGATTATGTAACATAGTTCATTTTCCCCCAATGGAAACTATATTTAGAAATATTCAAATGTGACATTATTACCCTATACAGGATGTCTTATCTTGGCATCAAGGGCTTCTGCTGAGCTACTGGAGGAGGATACTTAGATTATGCAATCTGGCTTCCAAAGCCCATTCAGAGGAGAACTACTAGAGCACTGATGCTCTCACTTCAAACCAGAAATCCTGTAGGCTCAAGATCTTGTCTGACCTAGGAGGAAAACATTTCCTAGAAGCTTTTCATGGTTGATGTTGTGATAAATTTTACTTGCACTTACAACTTGTTAGTCTTACTATTTTGAACACTGTGAACTGTAAAGGGCCAGTCTATATTTTTTTCAAGGAAATATTTAAGGTTGTATAAGCAGGAACTGTTTATACCATTGTAACAGGGTTACTCTAATAAGGAAATTTTACCCAATTGTTTTTCAGATTCAAAATAATAGATTTTAAGGTAGTACCAGTGTCTTTATGAGTCTAAATAACGATTTGCTTATGGCACAGCTACTTTTTAGCCTAAAACACAGTTTCTGCGGGTTGTAGGCATCATTTTATATGCTCAGTGCTATTCCACAAGTGCGCAATATTCTGTGACTTTAAAAAATGAACTACACTCTGAGTTAAAAAAGCAAAGCTGTTGTGAATCAAGCATTTCAGGTTAAATTATACTGACATGGGGAGAGAGCAGGTGCCAACTAATGGAATGAAACAGTTAACTGTTAGATTAATAAAATTTCTTTCCTTTTTTCTTTTGTTGGAGATCAAACCGATAGCCCCTTACATGCTAGGCACATGTTCTACCACTGAGGTACAACCCTAGCCCCATAAGTTAATTTCTTAATGTTGTTTATTAGGATCATTAATGCCAATGATCAATAGAGTAAAAACTGCAACATTCAGGAAAGTAGGGGCAGTATGAATATCCCTAGTTATGGACTTATCTGGGGCTTAATAGAAAAATCCATGGATAATCTGTAAGCCTAGCCATTTTTCCATCTTCTAGCCTTGTAACAATTTACAAATTATGTGTTAATTTTTGCGCCTTTCACATTACAGGGTAGAGTTCTGGGGTACTACAGAAGAAGCAAGCTGTCCATACAGCAGAAAGAGCTGTAGACAACTGGTAACCTATAAATTACACCTGCGAGCTTGCCAACACAATGGCACTTACGGAGTTAAACCCCCTCCCACCCCCATGTCTAGAACCCCACACGACGAAGTGGGTATGTGCTCCATTCACTGGCACATCTAACGTTGGTCTGTGACCAAGGGAAGGCGTGTCTCTCACACTGTTCCCGTGAACAAAAGGCAAGCAAATGAGGGTGACTCAGGGTTTCTGGTGGCCTACACACAACTGCACGTTTTTCTGAATGCTCTCATGTACACACTTAGGAATCAGGAAGACAGGCATTTTGCTCGTCACTAAACTGAATAAAACTATCTATAAATCATGTGGAGCAACTCTGAGTAAGAAAGGACTTAAAGTCTAGGAACTAAAAAGGGTTCCAGATTTTCCTTTTAACTTTTCCCTCCCTTTAGGGAATAAACAAAGACATCTGCCACATCAAGAGTCTGGTTTGTTTTCAACTGAAAACTGAATGTAACCATTAAAGTTTATCTTTGGGAGCAGCTTTCTGAAATTTTAAAAATTGGCTTCTGTGAGAGGTACACTACAAATAAAATTTAGCATTTTTAAAGAAAACTAATCAGCCAATTTATAACTTAATTGAATATCATGTAATTTACAACTTATTAACATAGTTTCTTAAAAGTACAGTAGGTGGGCTAATAATGAAAAAAATTCCTAAAATATATACAGTGATCCAGGCCCCCCTAGTTACTGGACCACCCCAAAAGAAAATGTATTTGACCACACATTCACTGTCACTGTCTAAAACATGTAAACTAGTGTATATTCTAGCCTTAAACTCTACAAAAAAAGTTTCACAACTTCCTTTCACAGAAGAATCTGCCAAGCCAATGATCAATAGAGTAAAAACTGCAACATTCAGGAAATTTACTATGCGATAGCAGACAGCAGTTTCAAAATGCATGTCAGTGTTTTCTACATTTTATGTGTTTATAAATTTAGGTTTCAGGATGTCAACAAAGCTCATCTGTAACTTTAGCTCCTATTTCCCAAGTATAACACCCTCTCCACCCCCACCCGTTTTCCTTTGGTCTTGAGTGAATATCCTAGGGCCCAAGGCGGCTGTTCTATTCCAAAGCTTTCCGGAGAGCAGCTCCAGTTCTTGATGGTCAGTCTTTTCAGTGTCGTCACTATCTTCTCTTTCCAATCCACTACCGCAGAATGGCTGGCTCTACTGTTTGCTGCAAATAAACAAGTGCTTTCCAGCTGCATTCCAATCAGCTCTTTTCTTATGTGTCCCCTACCCAACTGCCCTTGCCACAGTCCCTAACATTTCTTATTTCAACCATCAGTACCTTTTTGTTCCATTATCCTTTATCTCCTGTTGCCCTGCAGTTCTGGTCAAACCCCAGGCCCAAATCCACACACCCCTTAGTTACACTGTCAGTAGTAACACAAAGCCACCCTAAGCTTATTTAAAAAAAATTAAAAAAGGCCTCAGAAAATGTTCAGTGCTCCCAATTTTATTTTTTATTTAATGCTAAAAGTTAAAAGAAAAAAAGGTACTGTAAATCTGACAAATGACAGAATGCAGGTGATATTTCCATAGCGTGATTTTAAAATATAATGTTGATATCTGAGATTACACTTACTTCAGTTGACATGAATTTCATCATATATAGAAAAAAGTATCACCTTCAACTTAAAAAAAAGTAAAGGTTAAAAGGTGGCACACTTTTAAAATACTTGGTGGCCAAGGAAAGGTATATAGTAAAAGTTGTAAACCATGTGTACGTTCTCATAACTTTAAATGTGAGGCCACAGGAAAGACAGTACATCTGTTAAATTCTATAAATTGTTAAAGCAAAAAAGGGAAAGCTTCAACACCCCAGCCCCTAATATTCTGAGTATTAAAAGCACAGCTGAAATATTAGGATCTGAAATCTGATACTGCCCGTGTACAGTAAGTAGCTTTCTGACATTTCTATCCAGCTGTGGAGAATCTGTGCACTGTCATCAGGTCCAACAAAGGATCAAACCCACATCCCAATGTTAATTTTTTAACTTAAGAGAACGCCAGAAAAAGAACCCAGACCCACACTCTCCTTCCAACTATAGGCCTTTCCTAAAGGCCACCCAAGGGCCAGTCAGACTCATGCAGACCTAATATTTTAATAGCCGGAACCTCAATATTCAGCCCTTTGAAGCTGTTCAATTTCTCCCCTCTTCACCAGCACCGAGAAACTACTGTTTGTCTTTTCCACAGCTGGATAGACCTTTCCACTACAGCAGGATGGTTCTTTATTAATCCTTTTGGAGAGCTTATCTGTGTTAAGATTGCAAAACATACAGATAGCCACCACAAATTAGGTCAAATGACTGATCAAGTTGTAACATCTGTGAGGTCAAATTCCAGTTTATAATAAAGTGCCTAGAAACACATTTATACAACACATCATAATAGCTGAATTCTTCACAAATATCTTTATGGGCATGTAAAACTGACTGTTTTTGCATGTGTACGTTCACACAAGAGACACCAATCTGATCTGAGTCATACATACTCCAATTAAAAAAAGTGTAACGACAAACTGGTTAATCATGCAAGTCTGTTTGCAATATAACAATGACCGGTAACATAAATTCGCACAGCACTGGTAATAGGTGCATTCATTTAAAACACTACAAAAAATACTGTATTTGCTGCAGTATCTGATTTTCAAGTGTTAGTAACTTGACCACTAAACACATTTTGAGCAATTTTTCAGAAAAAGACAAACACATAACTAAAAGAACCCAAAGTTGGTAGTAATCTGTATTTTCCAAATTAAAATGAAAGCTAGGCTGTGAACACACACATTGCAGTAGACCTAGACGCCATGATTCAGCCTAATTACAAGGCCAAGTTACAAACACCTGAACGTAAGATTTAAAAGTGTTCCTGTCAATATTAAATCATAACGGCACAAAAGAAAAACCAGTATCACTGTGAGACAACTATTTCTAACAACCGATGATTTAATGGTTAAAAAAATCATTTTACTGATGCAAAATAGTGATTAAAAGAAATTAGTTTACAAAAGGCTTCTAAAAATAGTTTTAGGTGGGGCCTGCCTATTATGTAAAACACTGAATTTTAAAAATTTTCACTACTTTATCATTTTTTTCCAGAACAATATTATTTACTTGGTATTTCAAACACATGTAAGAAGGAAATTACAGGTTTCCTCCACCCACACTTGGGCTGTCACTGATACGCTGCTACAGACAGCCCTGGCATCACCCGCAGCTGTTACTGTCATTGTACCATACTGTATTTAGCACTCACTGAAACAGGGTGTAGATGATAGTATCAACAGCAATAGCACTACAGGTAAATGATAAAAACAAAACACAACACAAAACAGAAACAAAACCAGCCCCATGATCTCCAAGTTCACCTAGACTGCAACTTTTCTTGCCATTCCTTCAGAGGAAATGACAGCAACAACAAACAGAGGTCTGGGGTGTTCCGAGAGATGAAGGGGCGCTGCAGAGCAAGGCTCCACTCCAAGATGGCAGTGCCATCTTGTACACATCACCACCCCTCGAAACCGCCTCCATCGCTGGAATTGTGTATTATGTAACCAACTAGCATGCAGCATCGTAATCTTACAACTGATCACGTGGAAAGTGAACAGCGGTCAACTTTGTTTTTTTTTTTTTTAAAAAAGGACCCTCTCCCCACCAAAAACCATACAATCTTGAAAATCTCTCAGCAGCACCTCTCAGTCCATATCCCAAGAACTGAACTTTACGAACAAAATAGAGAGAGATTCCAAACCTATTTCCCTACTCCTCCGAAAGACATTATTTTGGGGCAAACTTGGTGATATTTCCCACTTGACAATAGCACCCCTTCCACTCCTTTCCTTTCTTTCTCCACCAACTGGCCTCTAGCCTCAGAAAGGGGCCAGCAATAAGGAATAACAGACAGTAAGGCAATCTTACAACGTCAGAAAATGTATTTGGCTTTTTTTCTTTTTAAAATAAGTGCATACAAATACAGCTAGAAGCATTTCTGATTTGCCAAGTGCTCTAAAAAAGCAGCCAAGTCACAGCCTACATAGAACGGTAACTGTCACCAGGATAATAAAGCACAAAGATATGCTAATAACGTTAACAAAAGAAGAAAATGCCTTTATAAGTACATACCTTTTTGTCGTCAAAAAATATAGAAACACAATGTATTCAAAAAAAAAATCAAAATTATACAGCCATGTTTATGAAGTCTACATTTCCCTTGTCTTGGATATATATATATATATATATGTGTATATATATATATATACACACACATATATATATATACATATGGAGATATATATACAATTCAAGCAGTTTTTAGGTAAGGGTAATCATTGGGTTTTTCTGAAACTGGAAAAGTCACGAGTCTCTCTCCTTTTTCACTTTCACATCTCCAGCAAGGATGGTTGCAATCTCCCCCTGCATAAATGCCCAGGGGACATTGGAGCCCACCAGAGGGCATTTCTCCCCACTGGGACAATAGACCTCTCCACTAGCTCCCTGCTGTTTGATGCTTTGTCTGGAGCAAGGGAAGCAGAACTTGTGCGAAGGGACGGAGGGGCACTGCACAAAGTGGGTGTCCTCCAGCCGCTCATGACACAGGGTGCAGCACAGGGGGGCGCTGGTGGCCAGGGAGGAGTCCGGGAGGCTGGCTGGGTGCACGGGCTCCAGTCCTCCAGTGCTGCCGGCGCCCTGGCCCCCCACCTCTCTGGGGCCGAGCCTTCTTTGGTTCATAGAGGACGGAGAGGGCGGACTGCTGCTATTCCTCCTGGTAGTGGAGTGAACCTGGCTGGCATCTTTCGAAGCGTGACTGCCCCCCGCATTGTCTGCCACTAAGATCAGGGCTGCCATAGGGGACTGGCCATTCTGGGCCGCTTCAGGCGGTGTGGTCCGGTTGGAATGAGGTGAGGCAGTGGGTGGTGGTGGAGACACAAAAGAAGATGTAGGAGTCATGGGGATCTTAAGCCCTTCTGTGGAAGTGGACAGCCATGGCTGGGCCTCTCCATTGATCTTGGGGGGCCCGACTTCACCCTCTGGTTCTGGAGAAGGCTTCCTTTTCCTTGCTGTTCTTGCAACTGTAAAAACAAAGAAAGAGAAGGAAAAAAAGGGGGGGATAAACTAAAGCTCAATGGAAGAGACTGCTTACTAATGTGAACCAAAACTTATTAGTTAATGCCTACTCTCCAAAAACACGCACACACAGGACTGTCCCTCCAGTTCTGCATGCAGCTCCAAACACACTTTGGAGGTCTGGGGCCAAATGCCAATTTAAAAGGAAACTAAATCTCAGAAAACCGCCCCTGCTTTTGGACAGACATGCTTGTAACCTGGCCTGAGCTGCAAGCATGTGACTTGCTACCGTCACGGACAGGTTAAAAGGTGACTGGTGCCCTCGTGCTCCCATCCAAGAATGTGCTGGGAAAGGAAAGCCCCGTGTCAGGCCTCTCAGCCACTCTGACTCATTCCTGTTGTGCTGCTTCAGCACTGGAACACGCTGCCACCAAGCCCGGGTTCCGCCTGGCCTGGGGCGCACCAGGAAGTGGGGCGTCTGTAGTTTCTGGGCAGGCAAGGGCAGAACCATCCCCTAGCACCTCGCACCCCTCTCCTTGCCCCTCCATCGCCGCCCCCCTCGCTCGCTCCACAGCCGCCCCTACCTGCTTTAGACCCGTTGGCCCCGCTGGCCTCGAAACCCAACAACCTGCCTGCAGTCAGGGCCGGCTCCTTCTTGAACTTGCTCTCGAAGGGCCCCGAGTGGCCGTGCTGGTGCAAGGCCAGCAGGGTGTCGCGCACGGTCTTGGGCCTGTTGACCCAGTCCTGCTCCGCGGGCCCGCCGCGCCCTTTGCTTGCGGCCTCAGCGCCCAGCTCCGCGGCCCCGGCCGCGCTCGCCAG